CGTCTACACGGGGCATTCTGTGCCATCGTACGAGAACAGATCTCACAGTCAGGGTGTTTTGGGCTGTGAGTCATGTAATGCATCGGGTCGATCGGTTTCTTTTGTCTGTTGGGTAGAACTCGATCGTTGTCGTGATGCGTTCGTGTATGTGTCTCTGTCGGTATGTCGTTATCTGCTTGAGCTATATCTAACCCCCCGCATTGTGGAGGAGAACACTGCGTCTGAGACGTAGGCGAGTCGGTGGTTGTGTCCACGTTGGGCTCGTCTGTGCTTGTGTCGGGAGGTTCTTCGACCGTGATGGTCCGTGCTCCTCCTCCCTCTCCGACATGTGGTCTCTTGGGGCAGGTCCCTATGTGGGGCCGTAGCTCGTCTGCAGTGGTTGGTTGCTCTGTAGTTTTGCAGCACCGACAAGTGTCGTTACAGCGGGCGGATGAACGCTTTCGCTGACGACGGCGGGGTGCTGACGAAGTGCATAACCGTGGTGGTGGTATCCGTGTTAAGTCGTCGAGTCGTAACTCTGGCACTCGATTGTTGACTGGAATCTTATACCATTGGCCCCCCGGATCCTGAAGCATGTAGCCCAGCTCAGGATCCCAAAGCTGTCGAAAGCCATCAACCTCAATCAATTTCCCAACTGATAGTAATGATGGGCAGTCTGTTAAAGCAAGGGCTGAACTATGTAGTCCAACCTCGGGTAGCCGTATGTCGTAGTGCTCGTTGACGGTACGATCACCATTTGCAGTTTCCAGAATATGCTCTTCGCGAATAGATATGCAATCCGAATCGGTCTGCGTAAGTTCATGTTTTCCCTGAATATGATGGGCAGAACCACTGTCGAGAACCCAAGACCTTGTCAATGCTGCAGTCGAACGTGGAGGGTCGACTTGCTTTGTCGTTGTCGTCGTCTGGTCAGTCTTTGATGACTGCTTGGCAGTGTCGTCATACTTTCGGATCGCAGTTGGTGTGGCCACCGACTCTTTGTTGTGTCGGTAGTCATATAGTTCGTCGTACCAGAGTTGTGCCTCTTTTTGACATTCTCGTAAGGCATCTGCACTGTCATCCCACCATTTTTGTGGTAATGGATCTGGTACTTTGACGATGTCACCCTCGTTCGGCAGCTCTTTCCATCTGTCCAGTCTGGCTCTGCCAGATATGGTATGGAAGTAGTAGTCCACGTTGCGCACGTCGAAGCGTATCCGACGACGTGTCTTGGTAGATGTCGTTGTGGCCTTAGTGTTGGCCATGAGGGTCTTGTCACGGATGACGTAACTGCGGTCTGAACGGCGTGAACGTCGAAAGTTGGCAGGAGAACGTGCTCTGGTGTTGGGTGAACCACGGGACGATCCGCGGCCCGGATACCGTTTGCCACGTCCTTTGTCACTACCATATGATCTATCACGGCCGCGTGGACTGCCGCGTCCGCCGCCACGATTGTCTCGTCCTCGGGAGGTAGATCTCGACGATCTGTCGCAACGACTTCTCGATTGGCTGCGAGAGTCTTGGGACCTCCTGGATGTCGAACGGGATCGGTCGTATTGGCGTCGGTTGTCACGTCCCTGTCGTGAATCGCTTGCGTAGCGAAACCCCCCGCGTTGTGAAGACCGTTGGCTTCCTGATCCGCGGGGTGGTGATCGGCCACGGCTGTCCTGGCTGGAAGTCCGTGGTCGACTCGGGCTTCGTTCAGGAGTCTTTGCACCAGGTGCAAGATGAGCGCATTTGAATTTGTCGCCTTTTGTGCACTTGTTCTGTGCGAAATCTTTGCACTGTGCGACGTGTGGGAAGTTACACTTATCGCCTCTGGTACATGTGTTGCGCTTGGCGAAATCGAAGCAGAATGGTTTCGATGCTGGCTTCTTGTGATTCGCAGGAGTGGACATACTACGGCGGGGGTTGCCACCAGCCGTTGATGTTCTGGAAGATTTGTTGTTCTTCCAATCCCTGGAATATGTATGTAAAGCCTTGCACCATTCACCGTTGCGACAATTGCCTTTCTTCCATGCAGCGCACGCGTTGACCTGAGACCGTGCCTCATGTTCGCACCGCAGCTTGTTTTGATTATTCTCCAATTGTTTAATCTCCAGTATGTCCAGGACACGCTGTCGAAGCCAACCGTAGGTACGATTCGGGTCGCTCATCTTCATGCGCTGGTACTCGTACATGTCTTGTTTCATCCATGCATGTCTACGAATCTGTGTGCGAAATAGCGATTCCAATATCTTTGGATCGGGTACTTCTCGGCATTCCAAGAGTAAGGCGTCCCAATCGGTAATGAAACGTTGCAAATCTTCATCTCTCATCCTCAGTTCTTTAAGGCGCTCGAAATCGTGCAGGTCGTCGTCAACGTCTGTCACTTTGTAGGACTGTAGGATATGCCAGTATATCTGGCGTCCTTTGAGCATGCGTCCTGCTTTGTGCTCTCTGGTCTCGATGAGCCTGATTTGGTAGCGTAAGTCTGAGGATAAGATGTCGCTCAGAGCGGTTGCGAGTTTGCAATCGATGCTCTCAAAGTCTCCACTGTCTTGTAAATCCTCGAATGTACATTCGGGCTGTTCTGCCACGCATAGGAAGGCGTACGCTTTGGATGGTCGCCCTGAAGCGGCCCCGAAGTTCTTCCGCACTCTTTGCTGCCACTCCAGCAGCTGCGTGATCTTAGGCAAGACAGGTACTCGGACGGTGTCTGACTCCTTGATAGGAGTCGTTGTATGGACCGACACCGCAGACACTGGTTGTGAGGGTATCGGTGCACCGTCGGTGGTTGGTTCTGTGCGCACAGGAGACACATGACGTGTCTGTGCAGAAGTTGCCGCGGAGGCTGCTCCTGGGGACGTACGTCGTTGCTGTCCTGCTGAAGCTTGTGGTGCTTCGGCGGACGCTGCCGTCGGCCTGTGCGGGTCGGCTGCAGGTCGAAGGTGGATGTTGGTGTCGTTAGTGTGGTCGATCAGCTGATTCGTCCAGCTCGTCATGTCTTCTTGTATTTGACCCACCTTTTGGCGTGTATACTCATCAGTATCCCGAGACCGTTGTGAATACCGATCAAGTCGATGCTCGTATGCTCGGAGACGGGCGCTTTGTGCCTCCATCTCGCTTTCCAGACGTGCGAGGTAACTCTCTACACGTACCTTCTCAGTATCTCTTTCATGAATAACCTGGGAGAGCTCTGACTGCGTGTGGTCCGCCGCCTTCTCTACCTCCTGCAACCTGTCAGTGGGGCGGGCGAAATCGTAAACCGTGGGAGGAGAATCCAGCTGATCAGTCTGGGCTCGTCCGACACGCAACTCTGCCGGGGCGTCCTGTACACCAGGAAAACGCTGCTCTATGTCAGAGATCCGGTTAGCGAGTGGCTGCACGACAGCGTTGGTCGCATCAAGCCTTTGAGTGATGACTCTCTCAGTGCGCTGCAACATGTCGATCAGGTTCGACGAGTTGGTGTGTGCTTCGGTACGAAGCGTCGCCGTAGTGTGGTCTAGATAAGATCGAAGATCATTGATCTGAGACTGAACGTCGCCAAGGTCTGTGGCCTCGGTTGGAGTTGGTCGGTTGCGGAGCTGGTCGTGGATCTCATCATGTAAAATCCTGACCGCGGAAACGCCTGTGTCGCGTACGATCACAAGCTGTTGCTCCATTTGCGCGAGATAGTTGCGCAGGTTCTCGACCATCGCCGTTCGTTCACCTGAGTGTGACACCTCACGATCAACCTGGTACTGCAGTTCTCCTATGATGCGTCGATCTTCGGCGATCCTGGAATCGATGATCCCTAAGGCGCCGTCAAGATCGCGGCGTATGGCTGCAGTATCGGTGGCGTTCGTCTGAACGCTCTGTAGTAGTCCAGAGTATTGGCTGGACACGAAGGTTTCAACCTGGTCTCTGAGCTCAGCTATGTCACCTGCGGCGGACGTCTCCGCCAGCTGGTCGTCTGAGATGGAGAGGTGGGGAGCGTCAGCTTCCCTGTGTCCCCTGTCGCGGGGAGTGCATGGCCTCTGAGAGGCAGTGCGCGGGCTCGACCTGCTTTCGCCGTATGGGCCTGGGGCTCCACGGCGGTTGCGCGCGGACGAGCTGCGACTCGGACCGTGTGTGTGTGTGGTGTCTCATCCGATGATACCTTGGGGTGCCGCGTCTGCGGCTGTGCCGACACTGGTCTACTGAGTTCCTCGAAGGTAGCTACGTGCTCCGCCACAGGGACGGTCGCAGGGCTGGGGGTCCCAGCGCCTGAGGTCCATCGGCGGTTAGCGCGAAAGCGCCCTGGAGTATCGAGACCAGTAAGGCTTTCGCCTGACGCGGTTGGGATTGCTCCCGACGGGGAAGGGGAGGGAGGATCGAAGGTCGGCGTGTGAAACTCCTTCCTTCCTGTTCCTACTCCTTCTCCTGTCCCCCCGCGGGCGGCGCTGCGGCGAAGTTCAGCAGCTAGTCGCGCCTCGGGTCCTTCGGAGCTGGGGGGGGTATCTGGAACACCAACACAGTCCGCACTAATGCTCTCCAACTCGTCACCGAGCCGTCGGGCCGTGGGAGAGCTCGGACGCGAAGGGCCGATGGAACCCTTGCGGCGCATGCGCCGAAGTGGCTCCATCAGGCTCGCATGCGAGGTCACCGCGGGCGAGTCGGTGAAGGTGAGCTTTAAAGGGCTGATAACCTGTGTATGGGGTTGAAGTACAAGGGTACAGAACCCCTGATCCGTTGGTAGAGAGAAGGAGGGATAGATGGATATCTTTCCCTCCCGCACGATCAAGGTCTGATCGATCTATCTCAGTACCTGAGCCCAAACGGCCAGGCGCAGGAGAGGTAAGGATAAGGAGTAAATATGAGGGTATTACACGGGTTCCATTTCACACCTGGGGCCGAAACCTTTTTTTTTTCTCACTCTCTCTCTCTCTCTCTCTCTCTCTCTCTCTCTCTCTCTCTCTCTCTCTCTCTTTGTATATATATATAGATAACGGCCAGGCTCGAAGCATCCTATCGTCGGAGGTCTGGGTGCTGGCGCCCCCCGGGCCTCCCCACCGCAGGAGACGGGGGAGGTGGTGGCCGTGAAGTCCACCCGCATGAAGAAGGCGGGGGGCGAGGCGTGGATGCAGCTGAACGGCGAGAGCGAGCGCGAGGTGCAGGTCCTGCTAGAGCTGAACGGGCACCCGAACGTGGTGAACCTTCGCGGCGCGTTCCTGTCCGCGCCGGCCGACGGCAAGGACGAGCAGGAGTACACGCTCAACTTGGTGCTCGAGTACATGTCGGACACGCTGCACCGCGTCCTGAAACACTACATGAACGTGCGCCGGAAGAACATGGATCAGTACTACGTCCAGCTGTATCAGTATCAGCTTCTGCGCGCGGTGGGCTTTATTCACGGGCTGGGCATAATGCATTGCGACATAAAGCCGCAGAATCTCCTGCTGGACGGCCGGACGCACACGCTGAAGATGGCCGACTTCGGCACCGCGAAGCGGCTGCACGTCGGCAGAACGCTCGCATCGTACGTGTGCAGCAGGTATTACAGGGCCCCAGAGCTCATCCTGGGGTCCACCACCTACGGCACCAGCGTCGACCTCTGGTCGGCAGGGTGTGTCCTGGGGGAGATGATATTGGGCCAGCCCCTGTTCACAGGTGGCGACGGTATCGATCAGCTGGTGCAGATCATCAAGGTAATCGGTACGCCGACACCCGAGGATCTCAAGGCAATGAACTCGTGCTACCCGCGGTACGCCTTCACACCAAGTGTTCCGCCGCTGGCGTGGGACAAGGTGTTCAAGCACACGGCCTCGAAAGATGCATGCGAGCTGGCGGGGCATCTTCTGAAGTTCGATCCAGCTTCTCGACTGCCGCCTCTGTACTGCCTGATGCACCGGTTCTTCAACGCGCTGAGGTCAGAGGAGAAGCTCGAGCACCGGCCGCTCTTCGAATTTCTGCCAGAGGAGCTCCTCTGGTGCAGCGCCGCCGAGAAAGAGCGCCTGGTGCCCAAATGGATGGAGGCGCCTGCCAGCTAGCGAGCTAGCGAGAGGCCCTGGCATCCTGCGTTGGGCGCGGACATTCCATGTCCACTTGCCCAGGGGTGCTAGAGGAGCTCGTGTAGCAGGCGCAGGGGACGCCCACACACAAAAATGCTGATGCTGCGTGGTGGGTCCGGGGCGCCATGAGCGTCGGAGGCGTCAACAGCGTTAGAGGCGTCTGGGGCGTCAGGGGCATTATTGTCATCAGGGGTAGGGCGTGCGTCGTTGAACCCTCTCCCGTTCCCGTCTCCCCCCCCCTCCTCGCCCATCCTGTTCTCTCCATCCCATCCTCTCGGCATTGCTCGGACGTGTGCATTTGTTCTCGGCGAGGACCATCGAGGAGCATCCTGCATCATCGAGCAGAAAAATAACACGCACGAGACCAAAACATACCTGGGACATGGACGTCCGAACGACGGCGAGTCCTTGCCTGTTTAACTCTGTTCTGCAAGCGAGCCGTCGCTCTGAGTGCATCACGGTGCGCACGCCGGCGGGTGCGGCCGCGTGCGACGCGCGCGTTGGCGCGGGAGGGCGCAGCTGATCTGGTCTGCTTCGCAGCCGCTGTGGCTGCTCTGGCCTACCTCTCCTCCCACCCCCCCATCCCAGACATCCGCCGATATGATTTTCTAACGGCAATTGGCATCCAGGCGCTGCGCAGAAGATGTGAAACAAAATGACTCCCCGAAAGGTGACAAACATGGGGGCTACGCTCTGGGAACTCCTCCTCCTTGCTTCCTCCATTTGGATGGCGGGGGGGGTATCGAAAGCAACGGGCCCGTGCACCTGGTCTTCTTCAGGACGCTGGACCCGCCGATATGATTGTTCTAATTCGCGGCCCCAGAGGCCTCGACCCCTTCCCCGGGAATGGTGTTTCGTCCCAGATCCATTTCTGATGGTCCTTCCAAGTGGCTGGGAAGTGCTGCTTTTATGAAGAAGCCGCTACTCACTACTTTTTTACATCGCGTCTTGACCATCTGTGCCCATCGTTGTTTGGGCCCGATGACGGGCCCTGGAAGCCGAGATCCAGGAAGCACCGCCGGATTGGCAACATCACATCTTCGGATCCCTGGGACCCTTCCCCTCTCGCAGCCGTCGTGCCCCTCGCGCGCCCCGCGACGGCCCCGCCGCAGGCGGCGGCGGCGCAGGCCCCAGACCGAGCGGGGCCACCCTTGCGCGCGTAGAGCCGCGGCAGCCCTGGCCTGCCCCCTCCCCCTCGGCGCGCATGCCCGCCCGCCCCTCCGGGCGGGGCCCGAGCGCCCCGGGCGCCCGGGGCGGGCCCGCAGCGGCGGGCGAGGGCGCTGTGGCCGCCGGCGCCGCGGCGGCCTCCGAGCCGGCGGGCGCGAGGGCGGCGGAGTGGGCGCCCGGCGGCCTGGAGGCGGCGGTGGCGGAGCTGCTCGCCGCGGACCCTGCGCTCGGGGTCAAGAGGCTCGTGGCCGCGCTGCGGCGCGCGCGCCCGGCCTGGGCCGGCGGGGCCAAGGAGGTGCGGGAGGCGAGGGCCGCGCTCGCCGCCGCCGCGCGCACTGCGGGGCCCGCGGCGGAGGGGCCTGCGTCGCGGGAGCCGCCGCCGAAGGACCCGGCGGCGGCGGCGGCGAGGCACCCCGGGCGCGAGGGCGCCGCAGCTGCGGGGGGGGGCGGCGGCGGGTGGCGGAGCGGAGTCTACGAGCGCCTGCCGCCCGGCGAGGCCGAGGACGAGCAGGGCCCCGCGCTCAGCTGGCAGGCGGGCTCGCCGACGCCGCGGCAGAGGGCCGTGGCCTCGAGGCGCGGCGCGCTGGAGCGGAAGCTGGCGGCCCACGCGCTCACGATGCAGGACATGTCGGGTGCTGCCAGCTGGCGCCCCTGGCCCCAAGGTGACCCCGGGGACTTCCGCGGAGGCCGCCTCCGGAGCGCCGGCGGCTGCAGCAGGGCTTACGCCAGGCCAGGGGGCACCTGGGGGGCCAGGGCCACTCTCGTTGGCAGCACCCGAGCGTTGTCGACTACGAGACGTGGATCCAGGGGCTGGTCAGGACCATGGAGGGCGAGAGGCCGCAGCTCGAGCGCAGCTTCAAGATGGCCGAGGCCAAGATACGGATGGCGCGCGAGCCCCATCGGCAGCGCGCGCTCAATGACGAGTTCGAGAGGGTGCGCCGGCGGGGCCAGTTCTACAACGAGGATGTGCGCGCTGTCAACGCCGAGGTCGACCGGTTCCACGCCAGCGACGTCTTCGAGCAGGCCCGCACCTACGTCCGCGAGAACTTCGACCGCGTGGGCGACGAGTGGGTGAGGAAGGCCGACGTTCGCTTCGGCCCCGAAGACGAGTTCGACTTCGAGGTGCTGCTGCAGCAGATGAAGGCCGAAGAGCGTGCGCGCCAGAGCATGCAAAATCCGATGGCTTGCCGCCTTCCCCCTCCCCCCTCCACATCCCTCCCCAGGCTTCCGACATCTTGATCATCTCGGGTCGCTGGCCCATGTTGGCGGCACCAACAGGGGGGTAGGGGGAGGGGGGACGGCTTCTCAGAAGGAGGCTGCTTCTTAGAGGGCGCCAGCCCTGCACTCGTAGACAAGGCTCGCGCCTTATGAGAAGCCCCTCCCCCTAGTTACCCCCCGTGTGCGCGCCGCCAACCATGGACGGAGCTCTCAGCCGCTTCTCTGGGTCCGTTTATTTCGTACGGTAGGTTTGCGTCGTGTCGACCAGCTGCGACCCCAGGGCCCCAGCGCGGGCGTTCAAGGTTGAACGCCGCCGGCGACCCAGAATCGATCGATGTTGAACGATCGGACGTTACGGCAGCGGCCGATCGTTCAAGGTTGAACGATCCCTGCGGTGTCAAAAACCAACGCTGGGGTCGGCACGACACGAACCTGCCGTACTCCGATCGCGGCTACAGTCAAGACGCTGAAGTAAGGACCGTTTGGGGTTCGGAAGGGGCTCGCGGTTCCCTGGGGCGTCTCCGTGGCTGCTCCTCTGGCCCTCTCCGGGCACCCATCGTTTTTTTTGTCGGGGGTGGGCAGAACCCCCAAACAGTGGCACGTCGATTCGTAAATTGTCCGTTTGCGGTTCTCGAGAGGGCGCCGCGGCCGTTATTTTCCAGGTCTGCGCCTGTCAGGTTTGGGCCTCAGGTCGTTTTCACTGAACCACGTTTTGCTGAAGGGGGGTCTGTCCATCCCCGACTTGTTTGGTGTCCGAAAGGGCTTCGGTCCTGACTGGCGTTCCCTACTACAGCAGCTTGACTGTGTCTTTTTGTTTGCCGGCCCGCGGGTTATGTCGGGCCTCTCCCTCTACAGGAGGTGTATTTTGAGGTAGTCAAACGTAGTATGGGGACGAGTTTTGTTTACTAGTTTTGAAAATGTTCGAGCATCTGTTTGCTATTTATTATTTTTCGTTCAAAATCTGCATGTCGGGCGAAATGTCCGACCTCAGCCTCGGGAGGGGCGTCCGGGGTTTCGAGGGGGAGCACGGAGGTAAAAACAGCCGTCGAAGCCTGAGCAGGGTCGGGGAGCGATCAGGAAGAGGGGGACGAGGAGGGACGGGAAGGGGGGGGAGAGGAGGGACGAGGAGGGAGGAGGGGGGGAGGAGGGGGGACGAGGAGGATCGAGGAGGGAGGAGGGGGGGAGGATGGGGGAGTGGGGGGGGGAGGATGGGCCAGAGAGAGAGGGAGAGGAGGAAGAGAAGGAGCGAGGATTGAGGAGGGGGAGGAGGAGGAGGAGGAGGAGGAGGAGGCGGAGGAGGAGGAGGGGGAGGAGGAGGGGGAGGGGGAGGAGGAGGTGGAGGAGGAGGCGCGAAGAGGAATACCATAGCCCCCGCAGTTGCGGATCCGAATAAGGGGGCTGCGGGGTCGCCGGTAGTCTGGGAGCGGGAGGGCGGCGGAGGGATCGCGGGCGAGGACGCCGACCACGGCAATCAGCGACAAACAACGATATTCGTCCTCACCGCGGGAGCCCATTTCAGGCACGCAAACAGGGATAGCGTAACACCCCTCGTCCCCCTCACTCTGAGTACTGTGGCGAGGGAGGGGGAGAGAGGACGCGAGGGAGAGAGAGAAGGAGGGAGGGAGTGAGGGGGAGGCAGAGAGCCAGACCGGTGCGTTCTGGAAACGAGATGGCGCCACCAGATAGGACGCCTCCAAGACAGGACCCCGTCCTGGCACCAGCCTCAGCGGTCCTCCTCCTACTCCTCCTGGGAGGGGGCGTCGGGAGCAGCAGTAGGAGGGTTCACGCAGAAGCCCGCAGGAAGAAGGAGGATGAGGCAGGGAAGGAGGGAGGAAAGAAGGGAAGGAAGGAGCTGATGATGATGGAGATGATGATGATGATGATGATGATGATGATGATGATGATGATGATGATGATGATGATGATGATGATGATTATGATGATGATGATGCTGCTGATGCTGATGCTGATGCTGATGCTGATGCTGATGCTGATGCTGCTGGTGATGATGAGATTGATGATGTTGCTGATGATGATGATGATGATGATGATCATGATGATGATTGTGCTGATGCTGTTGAGGAGGATCATGATGGTGATGATGATGGTGATGGTGATGATGGTGATGAGACTCATGATCATGGTTTGGATGTCGCTGATGCTGATGCTGATGATGATGCTGATGCTGATGACAACGATGATGACGATGATGTTGATGCTGAGTAGGATGAGGATGATGATGCGGATGAGGATGATGATGAGGATGGGGATGATGACGATGATGATGACGATGATGATGATGATGATATTGATGGTGATGGTGGTGGTGATGGTGCTGATGTTGATGAGTATGATGATGATGATGATCATCATGATGATGATGTCAGTGGTGGTGGTGATGTTGATGCTGATGACGATAATTATGTTGGTGCTGATGGAGATTATGATGCTGATGCTGATGCTGATGATGATGATGATGATGATGAGGATGCTGATGAGCATGATGATGGCTATCCTGATGATGATGCTGCTGATGATGACGATGATATTGAAGATGATGATCATGCTGATGATGATCATAATGATGATGATGATGATGATGATGATGATGATGACGATGACGATGACGATGATGATAATGATGATGATGATGGTTTATTGATGGCGATGCTGATGATGATGAGCATGAGGTGGATGATGTTGCTGTTGATGATGAGTATGATGATGGTGGTGGTTGTGATGGTGATGATCATGATGATGATGACGATGATGATGATGATGATGATGATGATGATGATGATGATGATGATGATGATGGTGATGGTGATGGTGATGGTGATGGTGATGGTGATGGTGATGGTGATGGTGGTGGTGATGA